GTTTTTAGTAAAGGAAAAGCATCATTAAATGTGCATCCCGTGAGGTGCAAACATCATGAACGTGTCGTTTTATAATAAACAAAGATTAGGCATGTCCAAACTTTTGACATTTTTATGCATTAAGATATAAGTACAGTAGGTTATCAGCTCGATAATCAAAAGCAGATCATAAAATGAATGCATTTGACATCACAATTGTCACGGCGCGGTCAGGAATCACACCGTGTGAACGTGGGTTAGGGTCCAAATGCAGGCTTTATTTCACTGCTGGGGAAAACAAAGTAAAAACATAAACATAAACAGAGCTGAGACTCTGAGACACAGGCAAGGAACAGAAGACTCTGACACCATACGGCCACGTAGGGCTGGCATCAGTCACCGAAACAAACATTACCAACATTAATCATCCGACCCCGAGTGGCGTGGGGAAGGCGCCTAAATAGTCCTCGTGACGGGCCACAGCTGTGTGAGAGTGAGTGTGTGCACAGGTGTGTGGAGTGCAGGTGATGGAGTCCCGGATGGGCGACAGCTGTGTGTGTGTGTGAGTGGGTGCCCAGGTGTGTGGTGTCAAGGTGACGGAGAAAGAGTCCGGGAGGATGGGAGATGGCGACCTCTGGTGGTGAGAGGGAGAACACCAGACGCCAGCCCCTGACATGTTTATACTGTGAGAGGAGGTTGATCAAAGAAGCCATATTTTAAATGGAAAACAGCATAACATACTTCAACAAATCCAATTTCAAAGAAATCCTTTAATTATATCCTTGCTTACTTCCTTTCTCTTTCTCTTTTTTTTTTTTAATTCTTGTCACTGAATCCCAGATTTCAAAAAGCAGACAAACACATTCAGGATTATCATCAGGAAGTCTTTACCTCCTTTGACTAGACACATATTAAATGCTCCTGCCCTGAGAAGGTTAACAAATTGGCCTATTGCAAATTCCCAGTTTGTGACTATTGCCTAAAGAAAAGGACAGAAAATCATTTGGGTTAAGCCTATTAATGCCTGCGGGTGAATGCTTGACAGATGCAATCACATAGCGAGCAATTCTCAGCCTCATGAGGGAGGATCTGGGGAAATGGAAAAAAGTCTAGGTTGAAATTGTATCGTTACACTGTTGTTCCGACGTTGTGGACCCAGATGGTTAAGACGGTTGCATTTTTCTAACATTCATTTGAAATCTCAAATTGACTCAGCACTAATTCTGATGAAAGCAACAGCCATTTGGAGCATTATCGGTGTCTTGGGAAAACAAGAAAGCAACCATACAATGAAATACATCTAAAGAACAACAAAAATTGGATTTAAAAATATTTTTGCCTGTGCAATTCCACATCACAGCTAGAGGTAAGAGCATTGCTTGAGCACAGCCAAAAGCACCCACAATAGAGTTGTGACTGGAAAACGGCATGGCATTTTCAATCTGGAAAACATTTGCTTAATTGAGGCATTGAGAATTAGTATATGAATGGATGCATTGTCAAGATAGGACTAATTACTACTCTGTGGGTGAATCACTCAAGAAGAACCCTTGTGCCGGGTGACATTTTGCATCAGAAATGTTAAAAGCCTTTTCACCTATTTACATTAATCATATCAAAAACTGCGGACAAATACATGTTAATGCACTGCTATGTCCATTATATATATTACCAACAAGAGCAGCAAAGGAAAGCGACGAACAGCACAAATGAACGAGCCCAGCTGTGAGAGGACATATAAACAGCCATTTTAGGCACCCACTGCTTCAATTTTCCCCGAAGCACTCAGGCTATCTGGCTCGTGTCAATCAGAGCGTGAGTGACAGTCGAGGAGAGCTCAGGGTGGGTTTTGCTATTGCTTTGGATTTGCGGAGTCATAATTAAAACAGAACCAAATGGAATTGCGGAGAGGGAGGTCAATGGATCAGCAAGAAGAGGATGAGGCCAGACTGATAGGCACCAAATGAACAAATTATGATGGGCCCCATTCGCTGTGATGAGGTCAAATGCACGACTCCATTGGCTGACAGTTCAATTTCCTCCAAATGTCCCTCATTTCAAGATGAGTTAATTATGAGTGAAAAGTTATCAGTCGCTCACCTATTGAAAAGAGGGATTAAATGCATTTTTGTCTGCATTCTAATGTCAAACTGTTATTTCAGCTGGATAGAGGGTCAAACACAATAACGCTGCTGAATGTAGCTGCTTCAGGGACATTGCACCATATGTAGCAGTTTGCCTTGAAAAAAGGAAGAAGAGAGACACTAAAACCTAATACTGCTGTAAATAATAACACTACACTCTTCTGTTATATATTTGTATTGATAACATTTTACAATGAGGTCCCATTTTTTAACTAACAATAACAAACAATTAGCAATACATTTGTTACATGTCTTATTGATCTTTATTAATGTGAGTTAAAAAAAATACTGCACACGGTTTGTTAATGTTAGCTCAGGTCCATTCAAAAATATTAACAGGTACATCTTCTGATTTTAATAATGTATTAGTAAATTTTGAAACATTAACTAAGAATAAAAACCACTTTCGAAATATTTTTCACTGTTAGTTCATGTTAATTAATGTACTGTAGTCATTCATTCTCATCATTTTAGTTTTCAATTTAATTTTAGTACAATTTTTTGTAATTTTGTTATGTGCTTTTTCATTTTTATTTACTTTATTTCCATATTTGTATTGCTTTAACTGTAACTTTAAACAAAATTCAGACATGTCTTGGCAACTAATTAAAATAAGTTTAGGGTTTTCATCTAAAATGTATATTTTATTTTATTTCAGCTTGATTTCAGTTAACAAAATAATAGTATGCAAGCTTTATATTAACAATAATATCCCTGACTGTAGTTAACTAATGTTAACAAATTGAACCTTATTGTAAACAGAAACCTTTTTATTCCTCTTTTTGTTAACAGCATTATAACTGTCTCTGTATTTACAAGTGAACACCAACATTTTGTGGAAAGAGGTTCAATAGTTTAAGGCAGAGTTTGACCTCAAATGCCAGGCAAATATTAAATTATGACACCGGGAGCATAGCTAATATTTTATCATTAGCGTGACTACATTTCATGATGGTATTAGGGGCTCAGTGAATGATTGTGCATACTAGAGGAGGACTATTAGAATGTTGTAAGTGTGTCCAACATTTTCCAGGAAGAGACACTAATGATCGTTTAGAATTGGAGGTCACCGAGGAGACCTCAACCTGCTCCCAGATCCAAAAAACATAGCGATTCATTTCAGACCAGATTACTCTGTTTCAAAAATGTGCTTCTTTTTTTTTCCAGATATCAAAACTCACTC